CAACAGATTGAATACGACAAGGAAGATGGCATTGCCCTCTGACGCTAGGTCTTGGGGCTGCTTCATGCGGCCGGTAATGGCTTGAACAGCAAAAGAGACGTCTGTCCATCCCTCCTGACTAACAATCTGGAAAAGAATAAATAAAGATGCCCCAAAGTCGTCGAAGCTGAAGAAGGGGTTCGCTGCAACACGCGGAGCAAGCATTGGCCAGTCGTCGCTAAACGGGGTGCTCTCGAACTCGCCATAACAATTATCCATGGTATTAATTCCGTCGCCACCGTCGTTACAAGACAAAAGTAAGCCATTGAATAGATTGAGACCATAAATGGCAAACGGGATGAGCAGAGACATCGAGACAAACGCGGCCTGAGGAAGCAGTTAGCGAAGAAGACGGCTACAGGTAAGGAGATGGCAACTCACGCCTAGGATTTTCCACCAACCAACGATAATGAGATCGTGAAAGGTGTTTCTAGCGCTGTTGCTAACATTCAGCAGTCGAAGTGCACGAAGCGCCTTGAATGCGCCTATTGCTCTGGAAATAGCGCCATCATTGATGAGGAGCGTAACAACATTGATCCACAGAGTGACCAAAACGACCGAGTCCATGAATCCCCAGGAACTTCGCAGGTATGCATTTGGGGTCAACAGGAGCCCGTCTGCAATGATCTTGATCGCAGCTTCGACAGTAAACACGATCGCAAAAGCCATGTCTGTCCAGATATACCAATTCCTAATACTGAACTGATGTTGTTCTTGATACTCCTTCTGATAAAGAGGAGTAGTAACACATGCAAGGACGACCATAGCCACGATTGCTGCGTAAATGAATATCGTAAAAGAGTACCAAAGGAGGGTATCAGGCACTACACCATCAATGCGCTCAATGCCCCGAGAAGGACCAACGACCCGCTGACAAAGCCGACGCAGGCTGTTGTTTGGTGAAAAAATGTACAAGGAGGTATTGTAATTTGGGTACTTCGCAAGATACTCTCGCTGGGCCCTCTTTCGAGTCATAGTGGCAGACATTGCCTGTTCAGCCATTTGTCGAGGATCTGAGGTATCGTTCGCGCCGTCAAACCTCAAGCTTGAATAAAAGGGGTTGGGCTCTTTGTCGCTAAACCACCCTTTCACCCTTCCCCACATGGCAGAGAGACGGCCAGGTTTGATCTCACCACCCAACAGCGTAGTTGCGCTTCTAATAGGGGCATGGTGCAGCCGGTCCTCTTCAGGTTTAGGATTCATTTGGTCATCTAGAAACTCGCGGACCACGGCGTCCTTGAGAAGCATCTCGACTGTTGCTGGCCCGTAGTCGAGGGGATCCTTATTTTTTCGATGTTTGGACAGGCCGAAGATTGTAGAAAGGGCCAGGTTGCTAGATGAAGCTCCAAGGTCTCGCCTCTGAAGAAAAGCCTTGACTTGTTGAAGCCGTTTCTCGTCTTCAGACACATCAAAGTTCTCCTGGATTACAGCAATGAACATGTTGATGAGAATGAAGAAGGCCACAATGAACCAGCCAATGAGCAGAATAGCCCCTATCCATGAGGTATTCTTGTGCCTGGTGTAGGAAGTGACAGTGTAAAGAATATCTGTCCAATTCTCACTTGTCAGAACTTGGTACATGCCCAAGAAGGAGTTGTAAATGGTGTAGAACGAGATACGATTGAGCGTGCCATCTTCATGCACGGGAATTTCGCCTCTGAACAATTGCGCAGCAAAAATCGCTACCAAGAATGTCATCAGAAACACAAAGAACATGAGGTTTCCGATACCAGCGGCATTGCCCAAAACGAGAAGAATAAGTTCCCTCGTCACTGGTATTGCTAACACAATACGATAGACTCTCAGGATTTGGAACACCGTCAACCACCAATATGCTCTGGTATAGCGAATAGGGGGGATTAATATGACGGAAGTCATAATCGCAAGGCCGAGGTCAAAGAGGTTACGCCAACTGTTGTGGAAGTAATTCCAATCAGTCGCAATTCGAAAGATCATCTCGATATCGAGAAGAATGGTAACGATGATCTCTGCAGTGTTGATGAAGCGCTCTCTTCTTGCTGACATGGTTGCGCTGCGGCAGGCCTGGCATAGCAACCCAAAAGTGATAATCAGAATCCACACTGCACGGGTTTTATAGAACATGCGTTGTAGAGAAGATGTTCTGCGAATTCTCTCGTCGGATCGAGCTTGCACCGGCGATTCCTGGCTGACAGTGAATGCACTTGCTTTACTCTCTTCACGAATGACCTGGAAGGATGAGGTAATGACAGCAATCAACAAGTTCGTCAACCACAGCATCATGATCATGATGCCTGCACCAAAAAAGAGAGCGGCCTGGACATAATCCGAGCTCATGGTCATGTACATAAGATCGGAGAAGGTGTTTGCGCTCATGATGACAAACACAAGTTCTAGGGAGTTGAAAATGTTGTCAAAATTGACCGTGCCGTTGTGTGGGTTGGATTGCTGAAGACAAATGGAGCCTCGAGGACATAGAAACCCCTTCCCTTCGTTGGTTCCGTTCATAAGGTCGGTCAAGGACTCTGAATTGTTAAACTTGAGCCAAGGCATGGTTTCGCCCGTTTGGTTGTTCAAATAACCACCACAAAAAGCTTCCTCGTTTGTGTAGGAAGCATCAAGGTCCGTAGGATCAAGGGGGTCGAGCCACACGCACTGCCGACTCAAACTAGCTTTGAAACTCTGGACCCCTATGATTGCAAACAGAAGCCAGAAGAATGTGAGGAGAAATGCAACTCGGACGAGTAAAGGCGTTGCTTTCTTTAAACTCCGGAGAATAATCTAAGAATATGTAAGCGTGCTTGTTGATATGTTGAGGGAACATGAATAACCGTACCGCAGTACCGTTCGTTAGAGCAAGTAATCTCAGAATTCGTAAACAACTCAGCATTCGAAATGCATAAAGATCGTGTTTAGTTTCGAGGCCAGAAATGCTCAAGCAGAAAGTGATCCAATACGAGACAACGGCAACAAAATCGAAACGATTGAAGGAATGGCGTAGAAATGCTCGCCGAGCAAGCTGAAACCTTTGGTGCTCTTCCAGAGTTCTTGGCAATGCTTGCTGGCCTTGCATAAACGTTGTAAAAGATCTTGAGATTGCTGACGGTTCCGGTCGATATTGCGATTTCTTCTTTACGGATTTAATGCGCTCCGGTTGGAAAACCGCACGATACTGGTCTGCTATTGCGGCTCGAATTCCCCGTTTACGGTCAATCGTACTGTACTCTGCTGCGTTCAACACGAAGCCAGACACGATTATACGCGAGATAATCTCCAGAGTGAAGATAATGAAAAGAGCAAGCATAGCCCAATCAATAGGATGCTGTCCCCATCTTTCTGGGCGTCCATTCTCAAATACATTCGGAGCTGCCTCAACCGCGAGAAGAATAGCCTGCAAGACTATCAAAAGAAGCAGAAATGGCTCCGTATATGGGTTGACCAAGAGGTTACAGAGTCGCAGCCTCAAAGGGTTGTCCGGCGAGAGGATCCCCAGAGACTTTCCTTTGAGAGGATTTGGTAAAGGGGGCCTCGGTATATCTGGCTCAGCTTCGGTCACATTAAAACGTGGTTCTGTAGATTTTTCGCTTGACGAACGAACCAACTGTGGTTGATATGAAGTATCGGCAAACATCGAATTCATCGTATCCCGGTTCCTATCTTGATCATGTCTACTGGGTGAGCGGGAGCGATGCCTCGATGCACGATGATCAATGACTTCTGTTTCGCCGCTAATGTTGACAACTCTCTGTGACATTGCCCGCACGATCGAACCAGCACGGGACAAAGCGCCCGATGTAGAAGGCGATCTTGACCTCCGATATTCGTTGGGATTAAGAGAAGCGCCAAAATTGCGATTTCGAGTTGACCCATAGCTTGCTCTCAAATCTTCGCCGAGGCTCCTCGTATTGCGACCGCGGGACGGGCTGTTTTCCAGACTCGAAACCGTTTGAAAACTGTCTCGATTTCGATCATCCAAATTACCGGCAGATAAAGAACCAGATATAGGCTCAACTCCAGCTGTCAACGGAACTCGATCGGACTCGGCGTAATCGGTACTCGGCGCATCTTCGACGTATGGAGCAGGCGGGTCGTATGTACGGACCGGTGTAGAAGGCATTCGAGGACTTGGCTGATGGTGATCCATACCCGGAGGAAGCGCAGCCTGTAGAGCCATTGGATCTATAGGTGACCCTGGGCTAACATCGTCGTCGAAACGATCGTAGGGTTGGTCCCAGTACGTTGAGATACCAGGAAGGTTGGCAGACATTTGAGGGACGTCGGGCGAAGAGACGCTTGGCTCTTGCCGCGACAGCCCAACTTGCGTCTGTTGATCATCGAGATGCGATTCATCTAAGTTCTGAAGCGGGATAGACAGGCGCCGCGCTGGGCGCCCGTCTTGATCCCAAGAGTGTGAAGACATGGACCAACGAAAGGACTAATGGCCGCCAATGTGGTCCAATGTCATGGAGATTGGTGATTATTGGTACTTCTACCAGAATGAAGCATCGTTAACGCTTATGAAGGAGAAAGATAAGAGAGCGTGAACTAAGTATTACTCAGAGGTGTTCGTAGAAGCAAAGAGGTAGCCAGTTCGCTACATCCTAATCAGGAGTCCTACCTAAGATACCGAAGGATGGCTGAGTGTAACAGTAAGCTCCCACTTACGCACTGTACATACAGCAGCTTCTTAGCAAAGTGTATTGAAATGCCGTGTGCTTTTTATAGAACAAGGTTTCTGCTACAGTGTGGAGAGTTTCATCCCCTGGAAAACGGAGGTCGTAAGCTGAATTCCCAGGAGCCAGGGTACCTTGGCAGTAGTCGAAGAGTGATATGTACTGGTGGTGAGTGGCATATGCTGTGGCTGACTGCGCCACATCTCGTCCAAGCTTTTCGCGACCTAGAAACGCCTCAAACACGCTTCTGTCAATTGTGACGCGACTGGCTGGCATCTTAACATCGACATCATCAACTTTTCTTCAACCATGCCATCTCGCAAGCGCTCGCTTGCAGCCATCGATGGCGAAGATAGTGAGAAAGAACACTCATTACAGCATCGCATACGTAATATGTGGCAGTTTGCGAATCTTTGCCAGTGGATATACATATTTGGCAAGGCTGCGAAAATCGACGAAGCTATCGATGTTGAGGTATGGACACACAAGAACCCAGTCCTTCCGTAATGGACAGGCACACAAACTAACACATTCCATAGGAAATTGAGACAGAATGCCTCAAGTCGAACTCCAGCGTCTTGGCGGATATTGCCCTTGCTCTCCTCAAACTAGTTTCGTCGCATCGTGGTTTAACGTATGTTTCCAGGACTTGGGGGATGCTGTTTTGCTAATGGTGATTCGAAGGCATGGAATTTTCGATGAACAAGCACGAAAACAATTTACGAAGAGATCGCCGAACTACAATCCCTTCGGTTCTGGTGAAACACCCCTCAAATTCAACGATTTCGACATTTTTACCAAGGTAGGCTATGAAGAAATTACGAGGTGCGGTCAGTGATCCGTGGCTAACATACACTGCTTGGGTAGATCAAAGTTATGCAACAACTGACACAATGGGCCATGATCCACCCTGAGCGCATTCGGGATAAGATGGAAGAACAAAAGGATAGCGAGCAGACAAGTTGGGTAAGTTCGCATCTCAACGAGAAGGGGCTTAGCCATTAACAGACTTCCAGCGAATAGAACCATACGGTTGGGATGCAGATGACAGAACCTACTTCGTGCTGGACGATAACCGAGTATATCGGCTCACGGAACCTCCGATGATTTCGAAACCGACCAAAGCGAAGAAATCCAGAGCGTCGTATGGAAGTCGGCGCTCGAGCAAAAGACGACGCACAACTTTGAATGCAGAAGAAGAAGTGGCTGAAACGGATCAAGAAATCAAAGAAGATACACCTCTCGAAGATGATGGCCTCGGTGGGACGACATGGGAATGTCTCGCCGTAACTCTTGATGATGTACGATCTGTTGTGGATGGGTTTCGGAAAACCCGAGACGAGAATGAGAAAATCCTGCGTAATCAACTAGAAAAACACCTCGTTCCTATCCTAGAAAAACAAGAACAATCTCGGCAACGCAGAGAATTACAGCGAGAGCGAGAGCTCACAAACGCTGCCAAAATGGCAAATGCAAAACGATCGAGCCGAATTGCTGGGAGAGTTGAACAACAAAGGCAGGAGGAGCAGATTCGAGAGGAAGAACGACACCGAAAGGAAGAAGAAGCAAGCAAACGACGAGAAGAATTGGCGCAAATTAAAATGGAAGAGGAGCGCGATAAAAGACTGGTGTCTCGTGAACAACGGTTACGAGAACGCGAGGCACGACGCGTCCAGCATGAGGAAGAACTTGCACAACTCTCCGAAGACAGCAAGAACTTATCAAGTAACAGCGCACGAGTATCTGAGCGCCGCCTCCAAGTTGAAATTGAGAAAAACAAGCAGGCTCTGAAGGAGCTCGAGGATGAGGAAGAAGATTGGATTTTTGATTGCACTTGTGGTCTCTATGGCCAAGTGGACGATGGAGCTCACAGCGTAGCTTGTGAGAGATGCAATGTCTGGCAACATAGCCAATGTGTTGGGCTGAGCGAAGCAGCAGCTGACCAGCCAGAATTCCACTATATCTGTGCTTCTTGTATTCGGCGCGAGCAAGAAGCCAAACGCCCCAGACCAACTATCAAGCTGAAGCTCAATCGTCCATCTAACTCCGGCACCCGGCCAGATCCATCCGGCTCTTCAAGTCACTTGGGGTTATCTTTTAGTGGGCAGGATCGAGAGGCCAACGGGACAGGATATGGAGACCACGACGCATCTAACGGCAACGTTGAACATGGCTTAACTCCATTGGCTTCCACCCCTGGTACTAATGTCAATGGCGTTGGTTTCCCAATTAGCATGGTGGACGCCCGCTCCGAGGTGAGTAAGGAGGTGCTTGGCACACCCAAAGGGACACCGGTGATCCCAGCACCTGTCAAGCTAGATGCCAGCATCCAGGGCAGTCCATCACGCAGTACGACTATTACCACACCGATGACGTCCTTCCGAACACCTAGTCCTTCGAAAGGAATCGACAGCTTCCAGGGGGATAAAACAGCTGAGTCGGCATTGAGCACACCTCAGATCAGCCGCGAGATATATCGAGCAGCTCACGAGCAGAACGGAACTATACCTTCTATTGCTGGGCTTTCCCCAACCAAGCATTCACCACCTCGCCCCATCGACTCTGCCAGCTCGAATAGATACAAGGCTGCTACTCCAATACTTCCTCCAGTTGCACTATCACCCTCCCCTCAACATCAGATTTTGACTCCGCCAATCAAACCATCGGAGCCACCAAGACCGTTTGAAAACCGATGAACACTCCAAACACGGGGATTTAATAAGGCATGTGCCCTGGTCAACGCCACGGCTGTGTTAGGAAGTTCTCTAAACCATGTTCAGGCATGACATGCGACTTGTCTCCAAGCCATCTCCAACAGCAATACAAGCACAACCAATACCATGATGGTATTAACGAGAAGACGCTGGGTATTTTGCTCTCATTGGAGAGGGATAGAGCTATTCAAAACAATTGCCTGTCATGGGGCCTTAAATGAGAGGATGGCACAGGCAGGTCGAATCACACTTTCCCCCATCTGTAAGGACTCTATAATTGTCTCCAGATCAAATTAGGCAAGTGGGCGACCAACAGAATTTGTGATCTGAAGCACTGCAGCAACGCGAGACGCGAATGGCCGAACCTATGCCGAAAATAGGGTGTCTGTCAACATTGCCGGGCGTGATGAAAATGGTGGTTAAGAACAAATGGCCAAAGCTTCGAATAGAAGCCTGTTTCTTTTTTGGACGCCAGGACGAAATAGTCTTAAAGGCAGAGCTGATCTGCCAAAGCAGAACCAACAGGCCAGGCTGGTACAAGGTTAGATCAGGCTGGGCAATCATGGATTATTTGGTTGGTTGGTCGTTCGGCTACCGCGACACGTCAAACAGACGCTGTTAGCACGACTGCGAGTGGCCGCTTGGTCCCAGTTATCCGGCACTTGAAGCAAACATACTACAGCACTCCATTTAACAAGCTTGGTAGGGCATGGCACAGCAACACTGCTGATGGAAGCAAAGCAAAACAGCGGTGGGCAGGAGCTGTTGGAGTAGCAGGATTGCGAGACGCCTCTGGTTATAAGTAAGAGGATGTAACGGATAATAGATCGAGATCGATTCACCAAACAATAGAAAGTCAACAACGTCTTAAGTTGGGATGGTTGGTGACAGCCAAAGGGGCCGGATGCGCACGTCAAAGGAATGCGCCGTGGCTGAACTAGCGGCATGCGAATAAGGCGGCGCAGGGAAGCACAATCAAAAGTATGACATTCTGTTTCTATTGAATGGATTGCGGCTGGACGCCAAGCGGCCCCATCTCTTAAGCTCATAGGGCTTCTATTCTATCTGTGCTTCTCCATGTTGGCCCGTGTGCAGTGTGGTGGGTGGTAGAGAGTGGAGGATACCGGCCAACGACACATGTAAATGCAGCTTGGAGAGGTCTACTACTCTGGTAACGGTCCGCATTGCGGTCTGTTTCCCAACAGGACAGTCGTCTGCTCCGGTTCCTTTGAACTTAGGAGCATCAGGTAACTAGTTGCTTGTCTATTTGTGGGCATGGTCCTGGCGTTGTAGACATATCTGGTATTGGGATGTCCCAGGTGCATACAAAACTACTTGTGGCAGCTCAAAGAAATCCGACAAAGACGCCCTTGCTGAGTGCTCTACCTTCAGGCCGCTTAAGACCAACATAGCTACTGTCAAAACATCATACTTTATCTCCTCATCTACATTGTGCAACTTACAAAGTCCATTTGCCGTTGTTCAGTATAGTGCCTGTGTTGTTCCATTAGCTCCATCATCATCACCATCAACAACAACACAGGACTCTTTTCTATCTTTGCGTTCCGTTGCCAAAATCAATACCTAAGAGCGGCGGAAGACTCGCGACATGCCGCAACAGATACTTCCAACTCCGCCATCTTCTTCTGACGGCTTCTCTCAACAACCAATGGCCATGGAGTCACATACTTCGCATCCTCAAGACTCTATGAGCCCAGAACAAAGCTTTGCCGGCTACTCTTACTCAACTCGATACTCTACTTCCATTCGTGACGACGACTCTTCTGTGTATGAGCCATCAACTGTGTATTCTCAAAGAAGCGATGTTTCGTTTGTAAGTCAAACACGCCCAGATGGTTGCCATGATAGCTAACCTGCAAAACAGCAAGGTTATACTGGAGGTCTAGGTATCACAAGTAACCCTTATGGTCCTTTGCCCGATGAGATCGGCTACAATGTAGGTTTCACGAGAGTATATGGAGATCCAATAGCTGAGCCAACGAAACAGAGCCATCTCCCGTACACCCCGGAAGCGTCGCCTTCAGCACCTTGCCCATCTAGGGACGCAATTACCACTCGCAGTGGTCTCAATATCGCTAAGAAACCGCTTACCACACGATCACCAGCAGTGAAAACTGGTCGAGTTCAGAAGAGAAGCCGTGCAGAGAAAGCCAAGAATGCCACCAACATGCTTTCAAAACCGCTTTCCGAAGCTGCCAGAGACTTTCCCGATATTCACGTTGCTGACATCGAGGCCTTTGTCAGTCGGCCAACTGAAGAGAGACTATCGGAAACTTCGCGTAACAAAAAGGCTGGTCAGATCAAACGCCCCATGAATGCTTTTATGCTATACCGAAAAGCGTACCAGGAAGTCGCTAAGACGCAATGCTCTCAGAACAACCACCAGCATGTCTCAAAGGTCTGCGGTGCTGCATGGGTTTTGGAGCCAGCGCAAATCAAGGAGAATTTTGATCAATGGGCCAGAATAGAGCGTGTGAACCATCAGCGAGCACATCCTGGATACAAATTCACACCCTCAAAGCCACGAAAGGCCAAACGTGATGGGGATGGCAATGACGACTATTCGGACAACGACTCAGATTGGAACGGCGGACGTGCCCGGAAGTCCAGATTCCGCCATGCTACACGACTAAGCGAGACACCAGTCGCCTACGATGCTGCGGGTAATGCGATCGGAGAGCCAGCCATGCCATCTTACCATGACATGTATGCTTACCCGGCTCTAGGTCGACCTCACCCACTGCCATACGATGATATCACACCCAGCTCCTTTGATATGGGCATTCGTCAGTACAGTGGTCTCAATATCAGCGGCGAGGTAATCAGCAGAACCCCTTCTCCTGGTGCGATCGACTACCCCGTACACGGGCTTGATGGATTCGCCAATTACTACGGACCGCCTGGATCAAGGTTTGACAGTGCCGCTCCCCATCTCTTCGGGCCTGCGCAGTACGATATTTATGATGGGATCCCTGCCAGTGTCCCTTTTGACCAAGAAGGCTGGGTGTCCCACATGGAAAGTGATCAAGACCTGATGCCAGTCATTGGAGGTTACGAAGACACCACAGCACAAGATGTGTACCTGAAGGGAAGCAAGGATGATTGGAAAGTCGAAATCATGGACGAACCTGGTCACTTCGAGGATTGGTATGCACAGACCGAGCAGGGGCTCCAGTGATGTCAGGCATCTTGATATCGCCGTGTAATTATAGCAATTTTTCCTTGTGTGTTTTAATATTTGGGTTAAAGGATTCGCGCATCATACATTGGATCGAGCGTTTTGATTTAGACCTGGGTTTCCTTAGGGGTACATATTTTAAACAAGAATCGGCAGGGGGTTGGCAAACACCATGACTAGGATTTTCTCATCTCAACGCGTACGGAGTACTGTAATTCGAATTACGGAGTAGTTATTCGGTCTTTGAAAGCTAACACACTGTTGTGTTCATGGGTGGGTGGAGAATGGCGTAGGCTTAGTCATTGGATACCCATGTCTACTACCTTGCCAGCATCTAGGAGCCGCGACTTGTCCCAAAACCACGTCCATCCTCATCGCAACTGTGTCCAAGCTGTCTGATTCCAACAGAGGATGACTTGGATCTCTAAAACAGTGACCGTTACTGGTCTGGTCCTATTAGCACATGCGTAAGCTCGGCAATTCTTGATATCTTCGCAGGAAACTGACAATCACTCCAGTTGCTACTCCGCGCAAGAGCACTCCGTCATCTCGTCAACAGCGGTGCATCATGGCCAACCGCAGCCGCTCGCAACACACTCGCTCCCGATCGACATATCGATCGAAGCACTGGTAGCGACTTTGATCATTGTCCTGGGCTTGGTTCTGGGAACTCCAAAGCTTCGACCAATTAAGTGGCACGAGTGGGCTGGCAAGATTGAGCGCGAGGGAGAGGCTGGCTTCCAAACAGGAAGTGGCGAGGTGGAAAAGGACTACCGAGGAAACCCTTTCAGTGTGCTTGAGACGAGGCCAGGTTTCATTGACATCCGCAAGGAGCGCCGTGAATTCACGAGCTGGGTCAAGGCTGACGAGAAGTGAGGACAAGAGCTCATACACCTAAGATGGGCGGCATCACATCCTTATCGATTTGACGGATTTCTATCTTGGCAAAATGAAGCCCTGTTAAAGGCATACTCCTGGCGTGCTCACGAGTATGTACGACTCAACAGGGTTGACAAACCACCAGCCTGCAGAACCAAATAGAGACTATTCATATTCCTGCATGGCCACTTTCAATACTGTATTAGCCAATTGCGTCGATTGGAACAATACCTTAGGTACTAGGTATACTCAATAGGTAACATTGGCACTCACCAGAAATACCTTGGTAAGCAAGGTAGGTACCTTACCTAGATACCTTAGGTACCTACTTAGGTAGGATCGTTTATGAATCTCCTTGCATTAGGAAAATTTTGAGGTCGAGTTCCTTTCACACCTGTATCCTTCCTTCCCATAATGGCAACCAAGTAAGCCTCCCCAACGCAATAGGGGGTAACTACCTACCTAAGTAAGTACTAACCTAAAGCAATAAAAGGCTCCTGCCTTGACTCACATAGACGACTACCTACAGAAGGTCACTCCCGTCCTGATCTCTCCTCTTGCCATTGGATGCCTGCTAATTACGCGGTGTGTTAAGGTTATCCTTCTCCCTCCCCTCGTATCCCCTCTAGTCTCCCGGCAACAAGTTTATTAACTTCACTCAGCCAATATGTCCAGGACGCCAGGCTCCAGTGCTTCTAATTCAAGTCGTCGTGGCCGAGGTCGAGGAGGTAGAGGTTGGAAGGGCCGCACTTACAATCGCGTAAACAGTGGTGATTTATCCTCCAGAGGTGGCTCAACACGGTCGCGAGCTCGTAATCCCTCTTCATCAATCCGCTACAGTCCTGCTTCTCGGAACCAAGAACAATATTCAGGTCCACAAGAACCGGAGACGCCCAATGCCGAC